TAAAGGGGAATATATATATAAAAAACATGGGGGATTGGAAGTGATGCAGACAATTACATTGATGGAAGTTACAATCTATCTGCAATATCAAGCTGATCTACCCTTTTTTTTTTTTTTAAAACATTATAATAAATACAAAAATAAGAAAACACCATGGGACCACGCAGCCGTCATACCACTCAAGAAGGAGACGCGTTCTGTCTCCTAGAGATGAACGTACTTTGGTGCGAAAAGTGCAAATCAATCCCAGAACAACAGCAAAGGACCTTGTGAAGATGCTGGAGGAAACAGGTACAAAAGTATCGATATCCACAGTAAAACAGGTCCTATATCGACATAACCTGAAAGGCTGCGCAGCAAGGAAGAAGCCACTTCTCCAAAACCGCCATAAAAAAGCCAGACTACGGTTTGCAACTGCACATGGGGACGAAGATCGTACTTTTTGGAGAAATGTCCTCTGGTCTGATGAAACAAAAATAGAACTGTTTGCCCATAATGACCATCGTTATGTTTGGAGGAAAAGGGGGGTAGCTTGCAACCTGAAGAACACCATCCCAACTGTGAAGCACGGGGGTGGCAGCATCATGCTGTGGGGGTGCTTTGCTGCAGGAGGGACTGGTGCACTTCACAAAATAGATGGTATCATGAGGAAGGAAAATTATGTGGATATATTGAAGCAACATCACAAGACATCAGTCAGGAAGTTAAAGCTTGGTCGCAAATGGGTCTTCCAAATGAACAATGACCCCAAGCATACTTCCAAAGTTGTGGCAAAATGGCTTAAGGACAATAAAGTCAAGGTATTGGAGTGGCTATCACAAAGCCCTGACCTCAACCCTATAGAACATTTGTGGGCAGAGCTGAGAAAGCGTATGCGAGCAAGGAGGCCTACAAACCTGACTCAGTTACACCAGGTCTGTCAGGAGGAATGGGCCAAAATGCACCCAACTTATTGTGGGAAGCTTGTGGAAGGCTACCCGAAACGTTTGACCCAAGTTAAACAATTTAAAGGCAATGCTACCAAATACTAATTGAGTGTATGTGTCACGTTCGTTTAAGGACGGGTCAGACCAAGGCGCAGCGTGAAATGCGTACATGTTTATTACAACGATAAACACACTAAACAAAACAACAAACCAACGAAACGTGAAGTCCTAAGGCTAAACACAATACAAGCCTACTCACGGAACAAGATCCCACAACTAATGCATGCCAACAGGCTGCCTAAGTATGATCCCCAATCAGAGACAACGAGCGACAGCTGTCCCTGATTGGGAATCACACCCGGCCAAACATAGATATACAACGCCTAGACTGAAACATAGAAAACACAACATAGAATATTCACACCCTGACTCAACATATAAGAGTCCCATAAGTCAGAGCGTGACAGTATGTACACTTCTGACCCACTGGGAATGTGATGAAAGAAATATTATTATATTATTCTGACATTTCACATTCTTAAAATAAAGTGGTGATCCTAACTGACCTAAGACAGGACATTTTAAGTTTAAATGTATTTGGCTAAGGTGTATGTGAACTTCCGACTTCAACTGTAGCTCCATTCTTGTGTATTTAATTTTTTTCCTCTTGCGTTATTACTCTGCATCATTGGGTCGGGCTCGTAAGCAAACATTTAACGGTAAAGTCTACACCAGTTGTAATCGGCGCATGTGACAAATACAAATGTATTAGATTTTTTGATTTGATGAAACCTGGTCCTTTTAAATCCCAACAATTGAGATTCTATTTTATTTTTTACAATATTTCTCATTCTTACAAGTGAATACACTGTAGTTGGGTTTTTTAACATTTAAATAAAATTTGCTTGTCTGGAACTATTCAGATTTGGCCATGCCTGAATTAGCTTGATTGATTAGTGAATCGAAATTCTTGTGTGATAAAATCAAGTTGGTATCATCAGCAAAATGAATTGGAAGTATGGTAGAAGACACAGAGGCATGGTCATTAATATGACACCTGTCCACAACCTCAAACAGTCACACTCCAAACTCCACTATGGCCAAGACCAAAGAGCTGTCAAAGGACACCAGAAACAAAATTGTAGACCTGCACCAGGCTGGGAAGACTGAATCTGCAATAGGTAAGCAGCTTGGTTTGAAGAAATCAACTGTGGGAGCAATTATTAGGAAATGAAAGACATACAAGACCACTGATAATCTCCCTCGATCTGGGGCTCCACGCAAGATCTCACCCCGTGGGGTCAAAATGATCACAAGAACGGTGAGCAAAAATCCCAGAACCACACGGGGGGACCTAGTGAATGACCTGCAGAGAGCTGGGACCAAAGTAACAAAGCCTACCATCAGTAACACACTAGGCCGCCAGGGACTCAAATCCTGCAGTGCCAGACGTGTCCCCCTGCTTAAGCCAGTACATGTCCAGGCTCGTCTGAAGTTTGCTAGAGTGCATTTGGATGATCCAGAAGAGGATTGGGAGAATGTCATATGGTCAGATGAAACCAAAATAGAACTTTTTGGTAAAAACTCAACTCGTCGTGTTTGGAGGACAAAGAATGCTGAGTTGCATCCAAAGAACACCATACCTACTGTGAAGCATGGGGGTGGAAACATCATGCTTTGGGGCTGTTTTTCTGCAAAGGGACCAGGACGACTGATCCGTGTAAAGGAAAGAATGAATGGGGCCATGTATCGTGAGATTTTGAGTGAAAACCTCCTTCCATCAGCAAGGGCATTGAAGATTAAACGTGGCTGGGTCTTTCAGCATGACAATGATCCCAAACACACCGCCCGGGCAACGAAGGAGTGGCTTCGTAAGAAGCATTTCAAGGTCCTGGAGGGGCCTAGCCAGTCTCCAGATCTCAACCCCATAGAAAATCTTTGGAGGGAGTTGAAAGTCTGTGTTGCCCAGCGACAGCCCCAAAACATCACTGCTCTAGAGGAGATCTGAATGGAGGAATAGGCCAAAATACCAGCAACAGTGTGTGAAAACCTTGTATTAGAAATAACAACGGTCCAAGGATCGAACAATGTGGAACACCACAATAATATCTTGGCCCTGGTAGATGCACAGCCATTTGCACATAGAAATAGTTCTCTATCATTAAGATAATCATATAGCCATTTATATGTATAATCATGAAAACCATAATATTGCAATTTAATAAGTAATATTTCATTATCAACCGTGTCAAAAGCTTTTGATAAATGTAGAAAAATGCCAAGAGCATATTCGTTGTTCAGGGCTGTAAAGATTTTATCCACATGTTGTAAAACAGTCATATCTGTGGAATATTGGTGCTCATATAGAAAAATTTTTTTACAAATTATTTTATACACCAGTTTCTCTAGTATTTTAGAAAAACATGATAGTACAGATATTGGGTGATAATTTGTTAAATATCTTGTATCCCTAGATTTAGAGATGGGGATAACTTTGGCAATTTTCAAATATTTTGGAACAATACCAGTTAGAGGCTCAATAATCAAGGAAGACACTGATTTCACCAAAGAGGCACCTCAAAATTACCAGCTGCTGATAGATTTAAGTTACCAATTACCTCCATCACCTCCATTACATCAGGTGGATCAAACTGAAGCAGAGAAGGGAAATGTCCCTTCATATAATCCAAGGGATTTCCATACATTTCTCAGATTTTCTTTGACAGAGAGGAACCCACATTCACAAAAAAAGTTATTAAATTCACATGAGATAACATCAGGATCGCTATAGGTCTTATTTCCAACAATAAATTGAGATGTAGAAGCCTTTTTCTTATTCAACAGTTGATTGATTATTTTCCAAGTTTACTTTTTTTAAATTGAGGATTGAAAGATTAATACAGAATTGAAGGATTTGAGAAAAGTCTGGTAACCAGACTCCACATTGGGATGATTAGAAATATTTCCCATGAAATATCATCACTCAACATCTTAAAATGCTCATAATACTTTTGTTAAATATTCTCCATTCCCACCTGTTCATTTCCAGCTGCCCTCAAGAAGTGGAATATTGGAAAGTGGTCAGAAATGTCAGTATAAAGTGTACCTGTTTTATCCACATTATTCAAAGAATTAGTCAAAATATTATCAATATTATCTGGGGTGGAGTTTGTTGGGGTGGAGGCACCATCTTGCTCTTGGCAGACTGAATGTAAAAGCTAGTCCAATGTAGGAGTTTCAGATGCTGAAGTTGACTGCTTTGCACTTCCATACAGTTGCTGTCCATGGTTTTGAATTTTCCAGAGCCATAGATACACTTAGGGTTTTGCAGCATTAAAGGCCCAGTGCAGTCAAAAATATGAATTTCCTGTGTTTTATATATGTTTCTACGCTATGTGGTTAGAATAATACTGCGAAATTGTGGACATTATGATAATGCCCTTTTAGTGTAAGAGCTGCTTGAAAAGACCGCCTGAAATGTCAGCCTGTTTTAGTGGGATGGAGTTTTGGCCTGCCTGGTGACAATAAGACCAATTACAAATAGAGTACCAATCCTCTTTGCCAATAACAGCTTGTTTTCATTTTTCCCCTTCCCACTCAGACCACTCCCAGACAGTCATAGCAAAATTATTGCATGAAAAATTGCTCTTTGCTAACAAGCTATATTTGATTCTTTTTGAAATTGTTACACAGAAATTATTTGATATTGAGATAAAAACAGCTGCATTGGACCTTTAAAAGACAGTTATATTTAACCAAACACTGACATCTAGTGGAAGTGTCCTGCACAGATTCAAGCTGATATAAATTACAACTAAGCAGAGAGCTCCACCCCTGACTTACTTGTTTAGCAGGAAGGAGCAAAGCTCACAACAGAACAGCGCTGTAACATTCAGCTATTCAGCATTCAGCTAAACTGATTTATGTCTTATAGGGGGACCAATAATCTTTTAAAACAATCAAGAATCTAAACAACAGTTGGAACACCAGCAGGAAAACATAGATTTCTAAATTCAGTTTTCAAAAGTAAACCTTCATCAAGAGAGTTTTCAAAAGTGAAACTAAACTTTCTGTTCAAAAGCCATAACAGAGAGATAAGCAGTGAGAAATGGCATCTAAAGCTTTTCTCTCAGAGGATGATTTCTCCTGTGCTGTATGTCGTGACATCTTCAAGAATCCAGTGGTCCTGTTCTGTAGCCACAGCTTCTGTAAAGCCTGTCTGGAGGAATACTGGAAACAGAAGACATCTCGGGAATGTCCAGTCTGCAGAAAGAAATCATCAATGGAATTCCCCCCCTGTAACCTGGTTTTAATGAACCTGTGTGAGGCCTTCTTACAGGATAGAAGTCAGAGAGCTTCAGCAGGGTATGAGGTGCTCTGCAGTCAGCACAGTGAGAAACTCAAGCTTTTCTGTCTGGAGGATAAACAGCCCATCTGTTTTGTGTGTCAAACTTCAAAAATGCATAAAAGCCATGACTTCTGCCCAATAGATGAAGCTGCACAGGATCATAAGGTAGGAGATGTATTTAACACTACTTGGCTTACAGCATGTACTGCACATATTGTGAAATGTGAATAAAGATCTGTGTGCCAATCCACTCCTTTTACACACAGCATCTGTTTATAATGTTGTTTCATTCCAGGAGAAACTCAAGATTGCACTGGAGCCCTTACAGGAGAAACTGAAGGTCTTTAGAGAAGTTAAACTGACCTGTGATCAAACAGCAGAGCACATCAAGGTAAGAATACAGAGTGAAGCTGAGATATAATTATATTGTAAAGATTTACCATAACTCTGTGGAGTTATGGATGATCAATTATTGATGATATATTTGACATTCCTCTCTGCTGTATCCAGAGCCAGGCCCAGCACACAGAGAGGCTGATTAAGATGGGGTATAAGAAGCTTCATCAGTTTCTATATGCGGAAGAGAGAGCCAGGATAGTTGCACTGAAGGAGGAAGAGGAGCAGAAGAGTCAGATGATGAAGAAGAAGATTGAGGAGTTGAGCAGAGAGATATCATCACTTTCAGACACAATCAGAACCATAGAGGAAGAGCTGGGAGCTGAGGACATCTCATTCCTGCAGGTAAGGACTAATCTACCTCTGATAAATCAACTGCCCTATCTATTATGAAATAAATATTGTAGCAATATATTCATATGTTTTAGATTGATTTTCTATGATCAATACATCTATTAATGTGTTATTTTGTTTCCCTACAGAACTACAAGGATACAGTGAAAAGGTAAGGGGACTTTATTACGTCTCTCTCTTCTCTGGGGTTCTGTACCCAACCCCACACTAGTGTAACCCTTAATTCATGTTGTAGGTATTTAACACTATCTCCACCACCAAAAAACAACTGAAAACTATTACTTGTGGTTTAATGTCTCCTGGACCAGGAGATGCAGCCAATCAGTGATGAAGATTCACTCTGCCTCTTTTTTTGCTTCCACCCTCTCCTGACATGAGCAGGTGCCCTTGGGAATATTATTGCTTTCAAAATAAAAGTCCCCAGGGTACAAAATAACAGTGCCTCAATACATTATGCCAAAATACAAATCATAGCAAAAGTAAGGCTACAGTTGTGTCCCCCTACAAAAGGAAACGTCCCCATTTCAATGACAACTTGAGAACACCCTGTCAACCTGACAGAAAACAACTGTAGGAGGGCTGAGGCTAATCATTCTAAGTAACAAAGTCCTTTAACCTGGAAGGCTTTTGACTGTACGGCCACACCTTGTTGTGGCAGGGGCCTGTACTACAGGAGGTGGCCCGTTTGGTTCAGCATCATGTCTGGGGTTAGGGTAACCCTGGGCAGGTGGAGTTATTAGAGGTATTTCCTGATCCCCAGCGGCAATGGCCGGGGCATGGACTAGCACACGGAATGGGATAGAGTCTGGCGCCCGGGCTGGTGGGCGGTAAGGCAGAGTCCCGGACAATGAGGTGGGAGTGGGTCTATGTCTTACTGGCCTGATGTGACCTCTTCATCACCTTGTATGGACGCTTCCATCTTTGTGCAAGTTTGTTCATGCGCTGGGCTGAGTCATCCAAGAAATCCAGGTCCCATTCCTTGTATGGGCAAAAAAACACCTTTCGATCATGATGATGTTTCTGTTGCAGTTTTGCCATTGTAGATTGCTGGTCCGCCTCCTTGGGGTCGTGTGTGAGTCATGTGGTCAGATCCTGGGCATAAGCAGTGGGTGTTGAGGGGGCTGTTTGTGCGAGAGATGAGTTACCGTTAAACAGGACATCCACTGGCAGACGAGGCTCTCTGCCATGAGCTTGAAAGTAAGGGGTGAAGCCTGTACTCAAGTGCACACTTGAATTGAAGTACAGCTCCACCTGAGGGATATATTTGTCCCATTCCCCACCGTACTGACTGATGTACTTTGTAAGCTGGTCCTTCAGGGTCCGGTTCTGCCTCTCTACCATGCCAACGCACTGAGCATGATATGGCGATGTGCGTGTTTTTTCAATGCACAGTACTTTGCATAATTGTTTTACGAGGTCTGACACCATTTTTGTGAATGTAGGGCCAATAACACAGTTTACGAGCTCTCAGCAAAGTACGCTCAGCACCTAAATGTCCACTGAACACATTTCCATGAAGGAGAGTCAGTTGCTTTTGGGATGAGTGCCTCTGGAAGCAGTGGCATGTATTCATGGATGCCAAGGGAAGCCAGGCTTCCCACCAAACATGACCAAGAAAAACCATACAAAATAATGTATCTTTCGTCTCTCTGTGTTTCATAAATGTCCTTCAATTCGCAAGAGGCTGAATGTATCTCACCGGAGAAAGCATCCAAGCAAACGAAACAGTGCCCCTCTGTCTCTGTATGTATAGCCCATCTATCCTGACTTGTCAAAAAGAGTATGACATTGTTGCTGCCCGTAGCATTGAATGCAAGGGAAGCCAGGGAGAATTTGGCCTCCCTTGATAAAAATAAAACGATAAATAGCCAATCAGCGTTGAGCTAAACTGAGTGAGCTCAACTGTGAATGGTCCTGGCACACCAAAAAAAAGTGTCAAATGAAGCCAGTTTGGATTTGGCTTCAAACCAATCAAATCACATTAGAAGCCAAACGTCACAGACAGAAAACTTGACTTGTTGCATCTCGTTGTGTAGTTGTCCTCCGGTGGCTAGCTAGCTAGCTCAAATTGTCCCTTTCCTAAATTAGCCTTGGAAAGAAATAGGGACTTGAACTTAAATCTCTGTACTGGCCAATGATTATAACAGCGTTTCTGATCCATCCACAAATCCATACTTTGTGTTCCTGGCTGACAGGATGGAAGTTCAACATGTAGCTAGATGTAGTTGGCTGGCTAATGTTAACTAGCTGGCCTGGCGCATCCTTGCCGATGAATGGAAGTTAGGCTAGCGAGCAAGTATTTTAGCCAGGTAGCCTAGGACAACAAAAACTAAAAGCGTGTACTGTATGACAGAGTCATAGACTGTTCAGGCAACATGAAAGAGGAGGATGGCATTGGTATTTCTCTACAAGTAGGGTGAGTCAACAGGTTTTATTCTACTTGCACGCACACGCACACACACACACAGAAATCAGTAGCATGGACCGACCCATCATATTTAGCTTAGGTTGATTGGACTAAATCGTTTTTGGTATCATTTAGTTGTCATCGTATTATACTAAGCATTAGATGATGTTGAAATGTTGAAGTTAAAATGGTGCTGAAATAGTGGAGGCAGCGCCTATTTTCTTTGAGAATTGCGATAACTTTGATCATGCTGTAGGTCATGTAACTGTTTGTTACATCCAAGTTTTGTGGACTTCAATGAACAGATGTTGCTCTCTGGTTTTATGATGAAACCAAGGTGTGGTTGAATTTATTCTGTAACTGTGTCTTCTTATTTTCTCGGCCTTTGGGACTATATATCACTGTGTCAATGCATATGAACTAACAGGTTATAGAGCAAACAACGCAATTATCACAACACATAGGTTTTAATATGGCCATAACACATATTACAACCTCTGTGTTGTGATAATTGCGTTATTTGCTCAATAAATTCAGTTAATTCATATGCCTTGCGACCGTGATATATAGGCCTAAAGGCCGAGACAATAAGAAGACACAGTGGCAGAATAAATTCAACCACAACCTTGTTTTATCACAAAACCGGATAGCAACCTCTGTCCAGTGAAGTCCACAAAGCATATTGCATGTACAGACATGACCTACAGCATGGTCAAGCAAGTTAATGTTTCCGACATATTCGGAACACTAAACAACTATTTAGATTTAGAGCCACAGAGAGTTACCGCAAGTCACAAAGAAAACAGGAGCTCCCTCCACTATTATGTAAAAATGTATGCACGCATGACTGTAAGTCGCTTTGGATAAAAGCGTCTGCTAAATGGCATATTATTATTATTATTATTATTATTATTATTATTATTATTATTATTACAGCACCATTTGCTTAGTCTAATACAGTGACAACTAAAATATATCAAAAACTATTTAGTCCAATCAACGTAAGCTACATATAAGGTGGCTGTCCATGGTTCTGATTTCTGTGTGCGTGTGTGTGCGTGCGTGTTTGTGCAAGTAGAAGAAGTTGTTGACTCACCCTACTTGTAGAGAAATGCTAATACCATCCTACTCTCTTTCATGTTGACGAAACGGTCTATCACTCTGTCATACAGTACACGCTTTTATTTTTTGTTGTCCTCGGCTACCTGGCTGAAATGCTTGCCATTGCATTCTCGTTTGGACCAGACAGCATCAGATAGATGGCCTACACGTAGAGAGACAGAGGGGCACTGTTTCGCTTGCTCAGATGCTTTCGCCTGTGAGATACATTCAGCCTCTTGCAAATTGAAGGAAAATTATGAAACACAGAGAGACGAAAGATACATAAAAAATTTATATAAAAAAATATTGGTCAATTGGGGAAGCCTGGCTTCCCTTGGCATCCATGAATACACGCCACTGATGGCTAGTGTCTCAGAAGTGTCTGAAATAGGAGCAAGGTGTGCAGCGTTGTGTAGGGCCTCAAACGTAGGAATAGGGGAGGACGAGGAGGTAGAGAAGGAGGCGCAGACACAGGGCTAAGGTGGGTGATTAAACACTGTACCTCTTTGCTGATTTCTGTGTGTTCAGGTCTCCGTGACATGGCGTCTGCGTTTGCATGTTGTTTTCCTTCCCTGTGTACCATAACATAGTCATACACATCCAATTCCAAGATCCAACTTCCTCTCCTTCCTGTGGGGTTACTATCCCCTGGACATTTCTTGAGGCAGACAAAAGGCTTGTGGTCTGTTATAACTGTGAATGAACTGCTGGACAGGAAATGCTTAACATTTCTGACAGCCCATACAACAGCCCATAATTCATGGTCATAGGTGGCCCACTTTCTTTCTGATGATGAGAGGGTATGACTGGTTTATGCTATGATACACTCCCAGTTGTCTTGGCGATGTGCAAGCACTGCCCTACGGCAGCCTTTGATGCGTCAGTGTAAAGTAGGAACGGCTCTGTGAACACTGGGTGTGCCACAATGGGAGGGTTAGTGAGAGCGTTTTTTTGTGTGTGAACTGCTTCCTCACACTCGGAGCTCCAGTGGAATCTAATTCCTTTCTTTGTCAGAGCATTCATATGGAGCCACAACAGAATCAACATTTCTTAACACACCTTCTGTAGTAGGAGCACAAGCCTGTAAAGGCTCGCACTTCAGTAGTCGTTCTGAGTGTGGGCCAGTCCCTGACCTTGTCCAGGTTCTTCGAGTTGGGCTACAGGCCATCCTTGGATATGACATGTCCAAGGAACGTGGCTTGGGTGCAAGCAAGATGACGCTTGGATTGAGCTTCAAGACAGCCTTTTGGGACTGCATGAACAATTCTTTGAGAGTCTGTAGGTGTTCCATGAAGGTCGTGTTGAAAACCAACATCATCATCAAGGTAGATGAGGCACACTTTCCAATGTAGGCTACGGAGTACAAGCTCCACTAATCTCTGAAAAGTGGGAGGAGCATTTGTGAGGCCCATCGGCACCACTTTGCCAGTCATGAAGGCACTTTTCTCTCTGTCTTCCTCAGCTAGTTCAACCTGCCAGGAACCACTAGTTAAGTCCATTGTACTGATCCAGCATGCACCTGATAAGCTGTCCAAAGCATCTGATGTCCGTGGCAGGGGATATGCATCTCGCACTGTCACTGCATTCAACTTCCAGAAATCAAAGCAAAATCTGCTCTCCTCAATAAGGTTGTGAACTAACAACTTTTCAACTTGCCTGTCCAGCTCTTTCCTCACCTAGGCTCAGTCCTATATGCACGCTGACGGATGGGCGGGGAGTCTCCTGTGTTGATATTGTGTTTGATGAGATCTGTGTGTCCAGTTCTCCAGCTGCTGGAGCTACTCACTGTCCACTGGTGAGAGCTGGAGATGAAGTTTTGGGAGAGCCTGTGGTTGTGCCTGCACATTGTTCAAGGTGGTCTCGACTACAATCTATTCCTCATCTCCCTGACTGACAAGAGAATTAAACTCTCCTAGCAAGGTGTCCCTTGGGATATGACAGTCATTAATGGTGGTGTTAGATACACGGATGAATGTGACACCTTTCTTGACTGAGGACACAGTACATGCCACACACAGGTCTGGGATGTTGCTAAGGTCAGGTTCAAGTAGCCCTATGTTGTCATGGTTCCAACTGTCACCAGAGGGCAGCAGAGACCGCCCTAGAGACTATAATGACACTGTTTTCAGTTCCTAATTATGATTTTGTTTTAGAGAGGTGTGTTTTCTGTTACCCTTAGCAGAAGTTTGATTCATTTGCCATGTGTGTTTGTCTCCTGAGTGAGTTATCGAGTCATAGTGTTTGTTATTTTCACAAGTTTTACTTTGTACCTACTGTTGAACTTTTTCCCAGTCAAGTATTTACGTTTATTCTAAACCACTGGTTCCTCGTCTGGTTCTCTTCTCTGCTCCTGGGTCCTACCTCACCACGTCACATACGTAGGTGGAGGACACTGACTGAAGCTCAGTTGGGGGTCCCTGATAATGTTCATCTGGGACAGGGCGGGGATGCACAGGGTAGTTAAAGTAACAGCATTGCATTGAGTGGGGCACTGTGTCTAGAAGACAACAAGGGCACAGTCCAATCACACCAGTCTGTAACCCTTATTCCTTGTTGTAGGTAATTAACACTATCCTCCACCGGAGGACTTGTGTGTTCAGCAGAAAAAAATCAAACAAGGGTTATAACTGAAAACTATTACTCAGTCATGAAGATTCACTCTGGTCTTTTTTTTCTTCCACCCTCTCCCGACATGAGCAGGTGACCCTGGGAATACTATTGCTTTCAAAATAAAAGTCCCCATGGTACAAAATAACTGTCACGGATTCTGCCGAAACTGCTCCTCCTCCTGGTTCGGGCAGGCTTCGGCGTTCGCCGTCCCCGGAGTACTAGCTGCCACCGCTCTATGTTTCGTTATTTGATTGCTTTTGTCTGTCTGTTACACCTGTGTCCATTTGTGTGTTGATTACTTGTCTTATAAGTTCCTTGTTTTGCACTAGACTGATTGTGTGTTGTTATGACTGCCACTTTGTCGGAGCTACGTGTTTGCACTCTGTTTTGTTTTGTGTTTAGTGTTTACGCGTGTTGCGTAATTTTCCCTCGCCTCTTGGTTTTAGTCGAGGTCGGGTTTTCTCATTTACGTTGGACTATTAAAGTCTGTTGGACGTAACCTCTGTGTCCTGCGCCTGACTCCTCCACCACATCCACATCGGTTCTTAGTGACAATAACAGTGCCTCAATACATTACGCCAAACTAAAAGTCATAAATGTAAGGCTACAGCAGCACTGACTCCTGAATGTTTTTCCAGAGCCCAGTGCACACTGCCAGATCCAGAGAGGGTTTCAGGAGCGCTGATAGACGTGGAAAAGCACCTGGGCAACCTGCAGTTCAGAGTCTGGGAGAAGATGCAGGGAGGAGTTCCCTACAGTGAGTAGGTCTTTTAGATATAATGGGTATTAAACACTAAGTGTACAAAACACTAAGAACACCTGTTCTTTCAATGATATAGACTGACCAGGTGAATCCAGGTGAAAGCTATGATCCCTTATTGATGTCACTTGTTAAATCCACTTCAATCAGTGTAGATAAATGGGAGGAGACAGATTTAAGAAGTATTTTTAATCCTTGAGACAGTTGAGACATGGATTGTGTATGTGTGCCATTCAGAGGGTGAATAGGCAAGACAAAATATTTAATTGCCTTTGAACGGGGTATAGTAGTCGGTGCCAGGCGCACCAGTCTTTGTCAAGAACTGCTGCAACGCGGATGGGGATTTCACGCTTAACAGTTTCCCATGAGCCACCACCCAAAGGACATCCAGCCAACTTGAAAGAACTGTGGGAAGCATTGGAGTCAAGATGGGCTAGCATCCCTGTGGAACGCATCCGACACTTTCTAGAGTCCATGCCATGACGATTTGAGGCTGTTCTGATTGCCAAAAAATATTAGGAAGGTGTTCTTAATGTTTTGTGCACTGTGTATATTGGAACACCACTATAACTCTCAAAAACTGAAAACATAGACAGTGAATGATATTTAGAATTACCTTCATAATGTACATTTGCTTTGCACGTTTTCAGAAGATCTTCCAATAAGTAATGTGAAAATATAGAACACAAAACACAAACACATCATATATCATATAGAGGAATGTATTCCCCCTTGATTTGAATTAATCTAGTGTTTTTGATTTCTCTCCATCCAGCTCCAGTAACTCTGGACCCCAACACTGCCCACCCACATCTCATCCTGTCTGATGATCTGACCAGTGTGAGATACAGTGATGAGGAACAGCAGCTTCCAGACAACCCAGAGAGGTTTGATGGCCATATAATGGTCCTGGGCTCTAAGGGTTTTAACTCAGGAACACACAGCTGGGACATTGATGTTAGGAAGAATAAAGTCTGGGACCTGGGTGTGATCACAGAGTCTGTCCAGAGGAAGGGATACTGTGGATATTGGCATGGATCCTGGGGTGTGTTGTTTGGTGGTGGGGATTATAAAACACATTTACCAAAGCAGCCACTCACTCACCTCACAGTGAGACGGAACCCCCAGAGGATCAGAGTGCAGCTAGACTGGGAAGGAGGAAAGCTGTCATTCTCTGACCCTGTCAATAACACACATCTACACACATTCACACACACTTTCACTGAGAGAGTCTTTCCATTCATCTGCACTGGCTTTTCTCCCCTCCCTCTGAGGGTGTTACCAGGTAACGTCTCTGTATCAGTGGATACTGTCTCTGTCTAAATCAGGGACTAATGTGATGTAAATGAGTCAGTAACACTCACTGATGTCCTTCAATAAGATTCTGACAGAGGGAGGACACACTGTGATGTAGTATAGAGGACCTTCCTCCTTTAAGAACGTTCCTGCTGTAACACTTTCACCTGTCAGATAATCACCACTATTATGGTACTATATTACATTCATCACTGTTAATATTGTCCTCTGTAGCTCAATTGGTAGAGCATGGTGCTTGTAACGCCAGGGTAGTGGGTTCGATCCCCAGGACCACCCATACGTAAAAATGTATGCACACATGACTGTAAGTTGCTTTGGATAAAAGTGTTTGCTAAATGGCATATTATTATATTATTATTATTACAATTATTATTATTATTACTACAATAATCACTATTATTACTACAATAATCACTATTATTACTACAATAATCACTGTTACTATGCAATAATCGATATTAATACTATTTATCTCACACTTTCACCTGTCAGACAATAATCTCTAACATCTGACCAAATTATCCAATATTTTAGTTCTGGGTTAACTGAGATTGGTCAAACTATGGTAGTCATCACTATTATAGAATAGAAATGTCACCTGTTCGTTTTTGGGTTTTCTTTTTACCACATTTTGATTTTGTCTCTGGTTATGTTAACACTGGCATGTATCCCAATCAACTTGGGCTACCTGAAAAATATTTGCCGTATAGTGTTGTGGCCTTGGAGCAAGATTCAGTTAACTAGTTTGTGAACACCAACACATGTAACATATGTCTGTAGAGTGCAACAAATTTTCATCCAATAAAAATGTTAAATTATCTGGAGCTTCTTCCATCAGTGTTAGGATTATGGGGTTAAATTAAGATCAGCTGCACACATATACTGTCTACACACACACACACACACACACACAAACACACACACACATGCACGCGCACACACACACACAAACACACACACACACACACACAAACACACACACACACGCACACACACACAAACACACACACAAATATAGACACACACACAGAGAATCCCGGGAGCTTGTTTGGGGAGTTGGTTTGTTGGGTTGGAGTCACCATCTTGCTCTTGGCAGACTGAATGTAAAAGCTAGTCCAATGTAGGAGTTTCAGATGCTGAAGTTGACTGCTTCGCACTTCCATACAGTTGCTGTCCATGGAGTTGAACTGACCAGAGACATAGATAGTCAGAATTCAGCTAACAGTCAAGTCAAGTCAGATGAGGAGAAAAAGTTGATCAGTTTCTTTGGTAAGTTTCATACGACTAGCATTTTGAAGCGTTAAAATCCAGTTATATTTAAGTAAACACTGACATCTAGTGGATATGTCCTGCACAGACTCAAGCTGATATAAATGACAACTTCTGCTGAGAGCTCCGCCCTACTCCTGCTTGACAGGAAGGAGCAAAGCTCACAACAGAACAGCACTGTAACATGCAGCTATTCAGCATTCAGCTAAATGTCTTGTGGTAGGACCAATAATCTTTGTAAACAATCAAGAATCAAAACAACAATTGAAGACTAAGGAACACCGGCATCAAAACATAGATTTAGAAGTTCAGACAACATTTCAAAAGTAAACCTTCAGTTCAAAAGTCATAACAGAGAGATAAGTAGTGAGAAATGGCATCTAAAGCTTTTCTCTCAGAGGATGATTTCTCCTGTCCTGTATGCTGTGATATCTTCAAGAATCCAGTGGTCCTGTTCTGTAGCCACAGCTTCTGTAAAGCCTGTCTGGAGGAATACTGGAAACAGAAGACATCTCGGGAATGTCCAGTCTGCAGGAAAAAATCATCAATGGAATTCCCCCCCGTAACCTGGTTTTAATGAACCTGTGTGACGCCTTCTTACAGGATAGAAGTCAGAGAGCTTCAGCAGGGTCTGAGGTGCTCTGCAGTCAGCACAGTGAGAAACTCAAGCTCTTCTGTAAGGAGGATAAACAGCCCATCTGTTTTGTGTGTCAAACTTCAAAAATGCATAAAAGCCATGACTGCTGCCCAATAGATGAAGCTGCACAGGATCATAAGGAAGGAGATGTGTTTAACACTAGTTGACCTACAGTATGTGGGTGGCAGGTAGCCTAGCTATTGATAGTGGCAGACCCTGGCCCCACTCTCATAGGGTGTCTCAGTTAGAGTTGGTATATGCAAAAAACACACTTGTCTATGTGTGAAATAGGAAGAATATTAGCACCCACCTAATTATTTTTTTTTTATGTGCATACAGTCACATTTGAATAAAGATCTGTGTGCCAATCCACTCCTTTTACACACAGTATATCTTTATAAGTTGATTCATTCCAGAAGGAACTCAAGACTTAATTGAAGCCCTTACAGGGGAAGCTGGAGGTCTTTAGAGAAGTTAAACTGACCTGTGATCAAACAGCCAACCACATCAAGGTAAGAATACAGAGTGAAGCTGAGATGGAGTGATACTTTACACATTTACCATAACTCTGTGGAATTATGGATGATCAATTATTGATGATATCTTTGACATTCCTCTCTGCTGTCTCCAGAGCCTGGCCCAGCACACAGAGAGACTGATTAAGATGGGGTTTGAGAATCTTCATTAGTTTCTACATGAGGAAGAGAGAGCCAGGATAGATGCACTGAAGGAGGAAGAGGAGCAGAAGTCAGATGATGAAGAAGAAGATTGAGGAGTTGAGCAGAGAGATATCATCACTTTCAGACACAATCAGTAACCATAGAGGAAGAGCTGGGAGCTGAGGACATCTCATTCCTGCAGGTAAGGACTAATCTACCTCTGATAAATCAACTGCCCTTTCAATTATGAAATAAACATTGTATTAGTACATTCATATGTTTTAGATTGATTTTCTATGATCAATACATCTATTAATGTGTTATTTTGTTTCCCTACAGAACTACAAGGATACAGTGAAAAGGTAAGGGGACTTTTATTATGTCTCTCTCTTCTCTGGGGTTCTGTACCCAACCCCACAGCAGCACAGACTCCGGAATGTTCTTCCAGAACCCAGTGGACACTGCCAGATCCAGAGAGGGTTTCAGGAGCGCTGATAGATGTAGCAAAGCACCTGGGCAACCTACAGTTCAGAGTGTGGGAGAAGATGCAGGAAATAGCTCAGGACAGTAAGTATTTAAGGGGTATAATAAGGTATTATATAGTGTAGACCATGACATCACTATGACTCTCCAATACAGAAAAAGTGGGGGGGCTTTCCTATTTTGTCCTCTATTGCTCCTCTATTGTTCCTCAAGCAAAGGGGGGAGGCCGATGACATCACAGTACACACATCAGACCAACTCATTGAATGGACAACTACTTGAAGATTGTTGTACACCAGAGGAACCCATCCAACTTGAAGGAGCTGGAGCAGTTTTACCTTGAAGAATGGGCAAAAATCCCAGTGCCTAGATGTGCCAAGCTTATAGAGACATACCCCAAGAGACTTGCAGATGTAATTGCCAAGGGGGGTGAATGCCAAGGGGGGTGAATACTTTCGCAAGCCACTGTACATGACTGTATATGATGCTATGTGTTGTATGTTTTGTGTTCTATATGTGAACATTACTTATTGGAAATCCTATTAAAACTTCACATCTGTAAATGTACCATCTCCTTTTTGATAAACACACTGAAACGTATTTGATGTTGTAAAGAAAACGGCTGTAATTTATTTTAAAGACACACTGCAGCTATTTGTTTTATTTTCCTGCTGAAAAACAATATCTCATGTGTAAATACAGTAATGTTCACAGACTTAAAGGGGGAACAAATAGTGTTTTTTAGACACAACAGATAAAAACACATGATCCAAATAAGCAATTCACTCCCCTCAGAGTGAGACAGAACACCAAGAGGATCAGAGTGCAGCTAGACTGGGAAGGAGGAAAGCTGTCATTCTCTGACCCTGTCAATAACACACATCTACACACATTCACACACACTTTCACTGAGAGAGTCTTTCCATTATTCTGTACTATCCCACCTCTGGGGGTGTTACCAGGTAAGGTGTCTGAATCAGTGACTAACATGGTGTAAATGAGTCAGTAACACTCACTGATGTCCTTCATTAAGATTCTCACAGAGGGAGGACACAATGTGATGTAGAGGAGAGTATCATTGTCTGACTCACCTATTACTATTATAGAATGAAAATGTCATCTGTTCTATGTTGGTTTTCTTTTTAGCACATTTAGAGTTTGTCTGTTTCTTTTAACACTGGCAGTATGTATCCCAATAACCTTGGGCTGCCTGAATGGCATTTAGCGTATAGTGTTGTGTCCTTGGACCGTGCCGCAGTTAGCTAGCTTGTTCGCAACAACACCTTTAATCTAAGTCTGTAGAGTGCAACACATTTTCATCCAATATCAATAAACATGTTAAATGATCTGGAGCTGCTTCCGTCTGTTAGGAATATGGGGTTAAGGTCAGCTGTAGACATATACTGTGCACACACACACACACATACACACGCACACGCACACACACACACACCAACGCACACGCACACGCACACACAAACACACTCAATTCCTAGAACCCTTTTGCCTCTTTCTGGATACCACATGTTTACATTAGGACATTTCTATAATCTATCATTGGTTCAGTTACTGTGAAATCATAAAACCCTTGATAAAACCCCACTCACCCATGAAGGGACATAAGCATATCTAGTCAATCCCAGTGTCCCATTGTTATCGAAAGTTCCACTTATGTCACATAAAGACAGTGTTACACAAAGCCAGTTTGACTGACAGGTGGTCCTTGGGAACAACGGACCCTCTCCCACTCCTCTAGTTAGCAGTGGATTATGCAGCAAAGCAATCAAGGAAAGTGCAATCAGAGATTCCTTAGGAAATTAGCCCCTCAGAATCAAAGAAAGTGCAAACAGAGATCCCTCAAGGAATTAGCCCCTCTGAATGATTGACCCCTCAATCCGGATCTAGGGATTTAGTTGGTCTCATCTCTTCATCCACAGCCTCTCTCTGCTGAGTAGCTTTATAAGGACAGAGCGGTCCAGCTTCTGAGTCTCTGAGTCCATAGAGCCATTACCAGGCTGCCATACTACACTGATATAGGGCCTCTATTGGACTGCTTGATCTACTATAGATCTGCTATCGGACTGCTTGATCTACTATAGATCTGCTATTGGACTGCTTGATCTACTATAGATCTGCTATTGGACTCCTTTTGTGCTTTAATTGATTTGCTATAGGAATACCATTGGGCTAAGAGCCAACTCTATGCCCTTCCGGTGTGTTTCTTAGATATTTATAACACAGGTGTCTGGCCAGGTAGGTAGTCCTCACCACTCGACTCCACTGCCCCAAACAGAACAGAATGGACCACCGACAGCTTCTCCCCGATCTCCATGGAAACATCTCCTCCTCCCTGGGCTCGGTCAATGACGCGCTGCTCTCCAGGACGGGCTACACAGTCCTGGCTGTGATCATTGGTGCGTTCTCAGTGCCCGGGGTCTGTATGAACGTCCTGGTCATCGTGGTGACGGTGAGACACCGGAGGCTGCGCCAGCCTCTGAACTACGCCCTAGTCAACCTGGCAGTGGCAGATCTGGGCTGTGCTCTGTTCGGGGGACTGCCCACTATGGTCACCAACGCTATGGGCTACTTCAGCATGGGGCGGCTGGGCTGCGTGCTGGAGGGTTTTGCTGTGGCTTTCTTTGGTGAGTTACTCTTTCTTTGGTGAGTTACACTTTCTTTGGTGAGTTACTCTTTCTTTGGTGATTTATTCTTTCTTTGGTGAGTTACTCTTTCTTTGGTGAGTTACTCTTTCTTTGGTGAGTTACTCTTTCTTTGGTGAGTTACTCTTTCTTTGGTGATTTACTCTTTCTTTGATGAGTTACTCTTTCTTTGGTGATTTACTCTTTCTTTGGTGATTTACTCTTTCTTTGGTGAGTTACTCTTTCTTTGGTGAGTTACTCTTTCTTTGGTGAGTTACTCTTTCTTTGGTGAGTTACTCTTTCTTTGGTGAGTTACTCTTTCTTTGGTGATTTACTCTTTCTTTGGTGAGTTACTCTTTCTTTGGTGAGTTACCACCGAGGACCACTTTGGAAACACATGTTTTAATAAATACTTGTAAATCCTATTCTCTGGGAATACATTGTACGTCTAGTTGTATATGTTTTCACCCAAATAAATTCAATTAAATTCAATACAACAGTTTAGAGGTAGTAAATGGAAGTGTCTGGCTATACAGGGAGAGTTATTTTTGTCAAATCCACTAGGCCTATTGATGTCAATTGAATGGATGTGTTTGCTGGGTTATTGCATGTACATGTAGTGTATGTGTTTGATTTTGTCCTTCCCAGGTATTGCAGGTCTGTGTTCAGTGGCCGTGATAGCTGTGGACCGTTATGTGGTGGTGTGTCGACCAATGGGGGCGGTCATGTTCCAGACCAGGTCAAGTAGAGTTCAACAGTATTCCATTTAACTCTGGTAACTGTGCATAAACAGAGGGAGAAGATAGCAGTTGCATAGAAGTAAGGATAAATGTGTGATGAAGTTAACTGTAATGTATTTCTACTGTAACACAGGCACGCAGTGGGAGGGGTGGTCCTGTCCTGGGTATGGTCGTTTGTATGGAACACCCCGCCTCTGTTTGGCTGGGGCAGCTTTGAGCTGGAGGGGGTTAGGACCTCCTGCGCCCCAAACTGGTACAGCAGGGAACCAGGAAACATGTCTTACATCATCCTCTACTTCCTGCTCTGCTTCGCCATACCTTTCTCCATCATCATGGTCTCCTACGCTCGCATCCTCTTCACACTACGCCAGGTGGGCACGGGATGTGTGTGTGTGTGGGTGTGTTTGTGTGTGTGTGTTTATACATTTGTCTGTGTGTGTGGGTTTGTGTGTGTGTGTGTACCCATGTGTGTGTGTGTCCCAGGTGTCCAAGCTGAAGGTGTTGGAGGGCGGCAGCACCACCCGTGTGGAGATGCAGGTCGTGCGTATGGTGGTAGTCATGGTGATGGCCTTCCTGCTCAGCTGGTTGCCCTACGCGGCCTTCGCCCTCTCCGTGATCCTTGACCCCAGCCTCCACATCAACCCGCTCATTGCCACCGTGCCCATGTACCTGGCCAAGAGCAGCACTGTCTACAACCCCATCATATACGTGTTCATGAACAGACAGGTGAGGGACAACACATACACTACCGTTCAAAAGTTTGGGGTCACCTAGAAATGTCCTTGTTTTCCATGAAAACATACATTAAATGAGTCTGAATAGGAAATATAGCAAAATGAATAGGAAATGTAGTCATTGACAAGGTTAGAAATAATGATTTGTAATTGAAATAATAATTGTGTCCTTCAAACTTAGCTTTCGTCAAATAATCCTCCATTTGCAGCAATTTCAGCCTTGCAGACCTTTGGCATTCTAGTTGTCAATTTGTTGAGGTAATCTGAAGAGATTTCACCCCATGCTTCCTGAAGCACCTCCCACAAGTTGGATTGGCTTGATGGGCACTTCTTACGTACCATACGGTCAAGCTGCTCCCACAACAGCTCAATAGGGTTGAGATCCGGTGACTGTGCTGGCCAGTCGATTATAGACAGAATACCAGCTGACTGCTTCTTCCCTAAATAGTTATTGCATAGTTTGGAGCTGTGCTTTGGGTCATTGTCCTGTTGTAGGAGGAAATTGGCTCCAATCAAGCGCCATCCACAGGGTATGGCATGGCGTTGCAAAATGGAGTGATAGCCTTCCTTCTTCAAGATCCCTTTTACCCTGTACAAATCTCCCACTTTACCACCACCAAAGCACCCCCAGACCATCACATTGCCTCCACCATGCTTGACAGATGGCATCAGGCACTCCTCCAGCATCTTTTCATTTGGTCTGCGTCTCACAAATGTTCTTCTTTGTGATCCGAACACCTCAAACTTCGATTTGTCTATCCAGAACACTTTTTTCCAATCTTTCTCTGTCCAGTGTCTGTGTTCTTTTGCCCATCTTAATCTTTTATTTTTATTGGCCAGTCTGAGATATGGCTTTTTCTTTGCAACTCTGCCTAGAAGGTCAGCATCCCAGGGGTCGCCTCTTGTGAGGCATCTGTTTCTCAAACTAGACACTCTAATGTATTAGGCCTCTTGCTCAGTTGTGCACCGGGGCCTCCCACTCCTCTTTCTATTCTGGTTAGAGCCAGTTTGCGCTGTTCTGTGAAGGGAGTAGTACACAGCATTGTACGAGATCTTCAGTTTCTTGGCAATTTCTCGCATGGAATAGCCTTCATTTCTCAGAACAAGAATAGACTGACGAGTTTCAGAAGAAAGTTATTTGTTTCTGGACATTTTGATTCTGTAATCGAACCCACAATTGCTGATGCTCCAGATACTCAACTAGTCTCAAGAAGGCCAGTTTTATTGCTTCTTTAATCAGCACAACAGTTTTCAGCTGTGCTAACATAATTGCAAAAGGGTTTTCTAATTATCAATTAGCCTTTTAAAATGATACACTTGGATTAGCAAACACAACATGCCATTGGAACACAGGACTGATGGTTGCTGATAATGGGCCTCTGTACGCCTATGTAGATATTCCATTAAAAATCAGCCGTTTCCAGCTACAATAGCCATTTACAACATTAACAATGTCTACACTGTATTTCTGATCAATTTGATGTTATTTTAATGGACAAAAAAAATGCTTTTCTTTCAAAAACAAGGACATTTCAAAGTGACCCCAAACTTTTGAACGGTAGTGTCCATACATACAGTACACAAGGAAAGGGGATACCTAGTCAGTTGCACAACTGAATGCATTCAACTGAAATGTGTCAGCGCCCAGGGAGCAGTTGTTGTTTAATTGCCTTGCTCAAGGGAAAACAGATTTTTTTCCACCTTGGGGATTCAAACCAGCAACCTCTCAGTTACTGGCCCAACGCTCTTAAGCACTAGGCTAAGAGTTGTGTATAACATGCACAGACACACATAATTACAAACACACGATCCTGTCGTCTTCATATTCGTAAGCATAGGTACAATTGCGTGCTCTATAGAGAATAAGAGATACATCATAGAATCAGAATTTGAAAGATGAAATATGCATTTTTTTATGCACTGTTTAATAATTAGCATTATCTAGCTACTGTAGTCCATGTTGTTCCTCTGAGTGTGTTGTGTATCAGTGTATCTCTCTCTCCAGTTCCGGGACTGTGCTGTTCCTTTCCTGCTGTGTGGTCGGAACCCCTGGGCATCAGAACCAGTGGGCTCTGAAGCTGATACAGCCCTGTCCTCTGTCAGCAAGAACCCACGAGTCTCACCCCAATGACAGCAACTTTCAATTTTTTTGTACAATGTAAAGTTGTTGTTATAAAATATAATTTTATGTGCAATATTTGTCTGTAACTGTTTCAAGAATACTAATAAAAGTATAGTCCATGATATTTGGAGATCATTAGTGTCACGAGGGCTTTAGGTGGATCCGGGTTCCTAATCTTAATCTGATTTACTAAAAATATATTTAAATCACCTGATGCCATATCCCGGTTTAATCTAATCTAAATTAAATTAATCTAAATTGATAACATGATCAAAAGGAGTAATTGCTGCAAACCATAAATTCACTAAAGAAACGATTACTGCTTTTAATATTGCTTTTATTGCCTCACACACATGTAAATAACAGCAAAAGAGAATATAATGTGTGGAAGTTAAGGGGTGCACCCTTCCGAACCCTCCTTCCTCCTTACACGTGGAAGATCAGAAAGCCACTGAAGGTGCTGAGGTTTTTGAAAGCATTACCGGTCACCTGGAAACCAGAAGGTAGGACCATGTAAACCTCGTCTCCTACAGCCAGCTGCAGAGTGGCTCCGTTGGACGCAAAGTCTTCATTGTCTCCCTTGTCCTGAAACTCATAGACCAGCGCCACCTGCTCATTGTTCTTGTAAAGGGCCACCCCGATGTTGGCCTCATTTTTCCAGGTATAGGATGTGAAGGTGAAGTAGTAGACTCCATTTACTGGGGCTGTGAATGCTCCTGTATGGGTGGACAAGGAAAAACAAGTGCACTCTTAGAAAAAAGGGTTCCAAAAGGGTTCTTCGGCTGCCCCCATAAAATAACCCTTTTGGGTTCCATGTAGAACCCTCCGTGGAAAGGGGGACAGCCAAAGCACCTTTTTTTCTAAGAGAATAGTGAACACCTGTATCAGAGGAAATACACTGGCTATTATTCTTTTTCACCACTCGGAAATGGCATCAAAACCTACTGCATGCCACTTGAGTACCATTGTAATTAATAAGCATTATTCAACTAGTTTTTTATTTAAACTATTAACAAGTAGGTAACACAGTTCATCATTACAATAACTTCATTATTTGTAAACATTAATAAGCATGTATGAGCATTACCATTCATACAAATGTCTCATTTATAAAGCATTTATAACAATTTATAACGACAAGTTAGCCTACCCTAAAGTGGTCCCGCTTTATTTGAAGTGTATCTTATGAAGGCTTCATAAAGCCTTCATATAGGCTTCATAAGCACTACATAGATGCCTCACAAATCTATAACCATATATCATGCTCTATAAAGATTCATAATGTGGCATAACTCTGTTACATAACCATCAATTTATTTGTTCACATTTATTAATCCTTTATAGAGCATGAAATACGGTTATAGATGATTTGTGACCCATTTATATGTAGTGCTTATAAAGCCAATATGTTACCTGGGACTGTTTCAGCCAGACAAAGAAAGAATTATATGTTAAGATTTGGATACAGTGAGATTTGTCTATGTAAATCGCAATAATATTTCAATGAGGCATACAGTATGTAAGGCTGACCTGTCCTGGGGCTGTAGGCGTTACCGACGTTGGTGATGACGTGAGTGTGGACCAGGTTGGTGTCTGCCTGGAAGGGCCCGGTTTGGCCGTAGCCCTCCGTGTCCACGATAGGAGGTCTCAGTGCAGCTGAAAAGGCTACGCCTACAGCTGAGTATAACAAAACAAATAATGGAGTTGATTTCAGTTGATTTGACATTTTAAAAATTGCCCCTATCACTCGCATTAATTTGGAACTAACAGTGGCAAAAGGATAACACTTTATTTGGATAGTCCATGATTTACAGAACTATCTACAGACTATCAGTAACTATCTGCTAACCCTAACCCTAACCGTATCCTTAGCAAGCAGTTGCTTATCAACAGATTTGTTGATAGTATGACCATCTGTAGAGCATCTACAGATGAAAAATCCGGACTATCCAAATAAAGTGTGAGCGGCTAAAGTTAGCGGATATTTGTAAAATATATACAAATCTGAAGAGACTTACAGTTGTGTGACTTTCTCAGGTCCTCAACCTCCCTCCTCAGTTTCGCCACCTCGGCAGACAGGTCAGAGAAAAGGGTAGAGGAAGGGTCACCGCTGTTGATGGATTGCTTATTGGCAGAATCATCTGTCTGTCCATAAGACAGACAGACGATCACAATCAGCTGGAGAGGAAGCAACGTCATCTTCGTCATTGTCTTCATCTGGACCTGCAAGCGTCTGTGGAGTTGGTTAGCTCTGAGGCACTGTTTATAAAGGATGAGGTCAGGGCACATGTGACCATAGTAAAGGACTTATTGGGTGTATGTTGAGCGTGGACATTGGACATTAATAAATAATGGTTTGTCAATAGTCTGTCACGATCGTCGGGAACAGAGGACCAATGCGCAGCGTTATTTGCGAACATGCTTTTTTTATTTAATGATTACACGAACAAAATCGATACGTGACGTCCAAAGGTGCAAAACACAAACCTACACAGGAACAAGATCCCACAAACACTGTGGGAAAACCACCTGACTAAATATGGTTCCCAATCAGAGACAACCAGCAACAGCTGATACTCGTTGCCTCTGATTGAGAACCACTCTGGCCAACATAGATATACAAAAACTAGACTAGACACAACGAGCACAAAACATAAACTCTACACACCCTGGCTCAACTTAAAAGAGTCCCTAGAGCCAGGGCGTGACAGTACCCCCCCCCCTAAAGGCGCGGACTGCGACCGCGCCTAAACATCACCGAACAGGGGAGGGCTGGGTGGGCATTCCTCCTCGGAGGCGGTTCCGGCTCCGGGCTTGACCACCACCCTCTACTAACCCCCCCGTAGTGCCCCTGGTCTGGTCTAGCCCCACTGGCTGGAGCTGGACTGGACTTCGGTGGAGCGGATTGCTCAGGCTCCGGTGTGGTGCAGCTGACCGGTACCTGACCAGGCACCGGTGAAACGGGCACGGGCTGGCGATGCGCACCACAGGTTTGGTGCGGGGAGCAGGAACAGGCCGGACCAGGCTGGCGACGCGCACCATTGGCTTGGTGCGGGGAGCAGGAACAGGCCGGGCCGGGCTGGCGACGCGCACCACTAGCTTGGTGCGGGGAGCAGGAACAGGCCGGACCGGGCTGGCGATGCGCACCACAGGTTTGGTGCGGGGAGCAGGAACGGGCCGGGCCGGGCTGGCGACGCGCACCATTGGCTTGGTGCGGGGAGCAGGAACAGGCCGGGCCGGGCTGGCGACGCGCACCATAGGCTTGGTGCGAGGGACAGGAACAAGCCGGACCGTACTGGGGACACACACCACTGGCCCTACGCGGGGATCAGGAACGGGCCGGACCGGACTGGTAACACACCCCAGTACCTCTCGCCGTGCCTCTACACTTTCCTTCCCCTTTAATACCAGTGGCCCCCGTAACCTGGCGGCCTCCTCTGCCAACCCGCTGGACCGCTCTATCGCAGCCTCCTGCTGCCCCGTCGTCCACGGCGTGAGCCCCACCCTAAAAATTTTCTGGCCGGCTCTCCTCTTGGACCAGGCCTCCATGTCTCTAGCCAGACACTCACTCCACTGCTTCAGAGTCCAACCTCTCTGCTCTTCACTTGGCTTGGCCCAGTCGAGACTCTTACTCCACTGCTCCAACGTCCAACCTCCCTACTCTTCACGCTGCTTGGTCCAGTTATGGTGGGATCTTCTGTCACGATCGTCGGGAACAGAGGACCAATGCGCAGCGTTATTTGCGAACATGCTTTTTTTATTTAATGATTACACTAACAAAATAACAAAATCGATACGTGACGTCCAAAGGTGCAAAACACAAACCTACACAGGAACAAGATCCCACAAACACTGTGGGAAAACCACCTGACTAAATATGGTTCCCAATCAGAGACAACCAGCAACAGCTGATACTCGTTGCCTCTGATTGAGAACCACTCTGGCCAACATAGATATACAAAAACTAGACTAGACACAATGAGCACAAAACATAAACTCTACACACCCTGGCTCAACTTAAAAGAGTCCCTAGAGCCAGGGCGTGACATAGTCTTAACTGTGACTATTCCCGCCCTCTGTACAAACACATATAACACATAATCTACAAGAGAAAACTTCAACATGATTTCCACAAAATCGTATCTTATTGTCACGATCGTTGAGAGACGGATTAGACCAAGGCGCAGCGTGGAATGCATACATGTTTATTAAAACAATAAACACTGACAAAACAACAAAAGGTAACGTGACGTCGGAAGGCTATACAACAAACAAGCCAAACACACCGAAACACAAACAAGATCCCACAACCCAGGCAGGCAAACTGGCTGCCTAAGTATGATCCCCAATTAGAGACAACGAGCGACAGCTGCCTCTGATTGGGAATCACACCCGGCCAAACATAGAACTACAAAACATAGATTTTCACACCCTGACCAAACTACCCAAATAATAACAGTCTCTCCAGGTCAGGGCGTGACACTTATCTACTGTTCAAAAACAGGAAAACATCTGTCAATTATTGTTTCATGTTAATCTTATATTGACTTGTAAATTTAGTGTCATGCTTTCAGTCAATGATATTCAGTCCTGTCGTCAGTCCGCCACATTGCACTGGACTGAGAATCTAGCTACAAGTCTGGAGGTGACACAACTGCCTCTAGTTCTCAGGTATCAAGACTGTGGCTACGTCCCAATTATCTCTCCTTCCTCCCAAAGTATGCACTAGTTCACTTCCCTTCACTGACTTAAAAGAAAATGACTGGTATAAGAAATATGGTGGAAACTCCCTCTAGCCCATGCCTACACCAATCCAATGCGCTTACATTTTGTAGTGAACGACACACACACACAGATCACACACTCAGAAAAAAACAATAAATCGGTCGCAAAACAGGATCTAACATGGAACCCACAAGGCAAACGCAAAAGAGGAAGACCCACCTGGAGACAAAGCACAGAGCAGGAGATGAAGGCAGAGGGTCTGACATGGCAACGCCTGGAGCGGAAAGCACAAGACCGAAAGGGATGGAGGCGATTCATCGATGGCCTGAAAATCGATGGCCTGTGTACCTCAAGGAATACAAAGGCCTAAGTAAGTAAGTGAACCAGTGCACACTTCAGGTGGAAGGAGATATTATTGGGACATACCGTGTGACTCTGCATGCTCCCTCTTGTCTCACCATGTCTCTCCATGTCTCACCATGTCTCTCCATGTCTCACCATGTCTCTCCATGTCTCACCATGTCTCTCCATGTCTCAGTATGTCAGGCATTAGAGAGTGGATACTGAGAACTTGATAGAGGAATTTGTTAATGTGACTACATTTTTACATTTACATTTTTAGTCATTTAGCAGACGCTCTTATCCAGAGCGACTTACAGTTAGTGAATACATATTTTTTTTTTTATACTGGCCCCCCGTGGGAATCGAACCCACAACCCTGGCATTGCAAACACCATGCTCTATCAACTGAGCTACATCCCTGCCGGCCATTCCCTCCCCTACCCTGGACAACGCTGGGCCAATTGTGCGCCGCCCATGAGTCTCCCGGTCGCGGCCGGCTGCGACAGAGCCTGGATTCGAACCAGGATCTCTAGTGGCACAGTTAGCACAGCGATGCAATGCCTTAGACCACTGCGCCACTCAGGAGCCCCAAAGTATTACACCCTGAAAATTATAGGAATGTAATAGAATCATAAAACTACAATCTGATAATGTGTTAAGTTAGTTAGAAGAAAAACAAGGGCTTTGGCTTATTTTCATATCTATGCTAGCAGGAAACAGGATTTGAAACTAGACACTGAAGAACATGTCCCCATTTTAGGTGTCTGTGTAAGATACATATTTGCTCAGCAACAGACTATTTGGGTCTTAAAAAGAAGAAGTGTGAAATAGACACAGGAAAAGACGACTAGGTTGCTTCATCAAGCTTATAGAGAAATGTGATAGTTGCCTATATATGGACTAGGAGCTTGTTCATTGGCCCATTTAGGGGCGTAGTAAAGGTATAAAAACATTGTGCATTGTATGATTTTCATTGAGTGCTCTCAATGAATAAACCTACTGACCATTGCAGGATTGAGTCTTTGTTTAATTTATTTAAACCAATAGATTTACAACCTCTTGGGAATTATTCAAAGACTTAAGAAGTAGTTGACTTCAACCATTGAGATAACAAAATTCTCATAACAGAACTACAGGGTATGATTAAGCAATAAGGCCCGAGGGGGTGTGGTATATGGCCAATATACCACATCTAAGGGCTGTTCTTATGCACGACGCAACGCAGAGTACCTGAAAACAGCCCTTAGCCATGGTATATTGGCAATATACCACACCCCCTCGGTCCTTATTGCTATTATAAACTGATTACCAACGTAATTTGAGCAGTAAACATGAATGTTTTGTCATACACCTAGTATACGGTCTGACATACCACGGCTGTCAGCCAATCAGCATTGAGGGCTGGAATCACGCAATTTATAATATACCGTATGTCCAGAGCATCCTGAAGCTACATCTTATTTTTGACCCCTTAGTCTGAAATTGTATGGCCAGATGATATGAGCATCTGCACCTGTTGTTTTTCTTGGGTCCACAGCTCCCGTTGTACCACTTGGTCTGATATCAGCCAGCTTTTTAGATTGGTTGTCTGTATTTTATTTCCATCAAAAAACTGTTTATCTGGACCTATTTCATGGGTCAGAGTACAAGGGCTTGTACCAATATTTACAGTGGTGTGGAAGTATGATAATGGTAAAAAGGTTAAACAATGATTGCGACAACATCGCATTAGAATGAACCTACTATAAGGTTGTTGTCCTGGCCGTGTGGTGCCAGGACAACAACCTCTCCCTCAACGTGACCAAGACAAAGGAGATGATTGTGGACTACAGGGAAAAAAAGAGGACTGAGCACGCCCCCATTCTCATCGACGGGGCTGTAGTGGAACAGGTTGAGAGCTTCAAGTTCCTTGGTGTCCACATCACCAACGAACTATCATGGTCCAAACACACCAAGACAGTCGTGAAGAGGGCACGACAAAGCCTATTCCCCCTCAGGAGACTGAAAATATTTGGCATGGGTCCTCAGATCCTCAAAAAATTATACAGCTGCACCATCGAGAGCATCCTGACTGGTTGCATCAGACGCCTGGTATGGCAACTGCTTGGCCTCCGACCGCAAGGCACTACAGAGGGTAGTGCGTACGGCCCAGTACATCACTGGGGCCAAGCTTCCTGCCATCCAGGACCTCTATACCAGGCGGTGTCAGAGGAAGGCCCTCAAAATTGTCAAAGACTCCAGCCACCCTAGTCATAGACTGTTCTCTCTGCTACCGCACGGCAAGCGGTACCGGAGTGCCAAGTCTAGGTCCAAAAGACTTCTCAACAGCTTCTACCCCCAAGCCATAAGACTCCTGAACAGCTAATCATGGCTACCCGGACTATTTGCACTGCCCCCCCACCCCATCCTTTTTACGCTGCTGCTACTCTGTTAATGATTTATGCATAGTCACTTTAACTTTACCCACATGTACATATTACCTCAACTAGCC